CTCTGAGCTAGCAGGTTTTCACCCCAGCCTTTGAATCTCGAGTTTTATTTATTAATAGAATGATAGAGATTTTAGCAGTAGCAGTAGAGCCAATGCCTGTGGGGACAAAATTCCCACCAGGCCATGGACTGAGTGGCTTCGCCATTGCCAGAGAAGCAGGCTGGTAACTGTGGAGTTGCAATTACTGGCTGAAAAAGCAGTAGATTAAGGTGTAGCCTCTGTGCTGAAGTTAAAACATTTTCACTTATTGTTATTTACCAAATATTAATGAAAAATTAATTTCAAGAAAAAGTGAACCCTGAATATTTTTGACATCCTTTGTGCCCATTCCATTGTGCCCAAATGGAATCCAGCTCAAAAGTCCATCAGCTAAGGAGAGTGGGTATGTAAACTCTGGCGTATCTGTATAATGAGATGCTATTCTATAATAAAATGATCCCAAAGCCTCGCAGTGTGGTAATCACAGTTTAATAATGAAGGAGCAAAGCCATGAATGTGTGCAGCTCACCATCCACCTTGAGAAGTGACCACAGACTTGACACCCACCTCCCCTGTAGGAAGTTCTGCTTCTTTTCCTCTGCTGTTTTAAAGCATCGCTCTGTTCTTCTCCCTCTTTCAAGTGGGGAAGACCTTTGAGAGAATCATTTTTCTCTTGTCTAATTTTGCATGCTGACCTCCTATCCCTGGGAAAACTTGAACTCCAATGCTTTCTCTTTTATGACTTCACAAAAGATTCATGCAGCATGTTTTGATGCTTTTACATGGCACATGGTATTGGCTTCAGGGCTATGAACCTCTCAGCTTCCTGTGATGTGCTCTCTTCAGTTCCCACCATGCTGGATTTTTCCAATGTACTTGGCATTGCTGGCCTCACTCTCCTTATTACTCCAATCATGAGTCCCTTCCTCATTCTCAGGTTTTCATTTTGTGTAGATATCCCTTCCTGGGCAGATTCTTAAGATACCAGTTTTGGCTGACTGTCATTATGCATGGTAACACTGAGAGAGATCGTGACTGAGGTATCATGCTGCTGGCCACTGTCTTTTCAGCCATGTGTCCAGCAAATACTATGCATTTTTTATATTCAGGACTCACTTTAGAAACTATGTAACTTTGAAACCTATACTGTTATTGGAGTTGCTTTTTATTGGGCAGAGAAGGAAGTTTCCCATTTTTAGGGAGTATTGCAGTAATGGGCTTTTCAGAGAAGGCGCTCCTAGGAAGAACACAAGACAAGGTAAATGCAAATAGAAGTTTATCAAGGGGCATTGTATCAAGGGAAAGGTGTGTAAAGAGAACCAGAGGGCAACTAAGTTGCAGCTGAGACAGAGAGATGTTGTAGTTGCTACTGTCTAAGTCACACCGATGGAGAACAGATTTACAGACTATTGCTTCTACTGAGTAAAATGAGGAAACAGTTCAGATATTTATCAGATGATGAATATATCATCTGAGTGGTATTTTAAGTAACTTACATGGCTTCTGATGGGGACTGTATGCAAATTGTGCTTGAATTGCAAAAGAACAGATGTTTTCCTGTATCACAGACCAGGATATTTGAACATCTACTCATCATGCTCACTAGGATTCAACAAATATTAAGCCTCTTTTCCCAAAACCCTAGTATGAACTTGCTCCTTTTCCTGTAACCTAGCTTGGAAAAGACCTAGCTGTTCAAAGAAGAGCCAGTCTTGGCTTTTCAGAGGCTCTTTACCCATTTGCCAAGTGGGAGAAAAGGCATTTGTGCTCTTTCGTGACACCCTCTAATTTGCTGGTCCCTTCTTTTTGCACCTTTCAGTACTCAATATTAAAATTCTCTTCATTCTCTGAGAGAAGTTCATTAGGCTCATTTGTTCCTTCCTGGCATGTCCTCCCTTGCTCCTTGTAGCCAGCGTGGGGTCTATTCATATTTAACAAGTGATATCAAGGTGGTATGTGGTACTATAGTTCAGTAATAGGCTGAGGTTCGATCCCAGTTCTATGGTTGATTTGTTATGTGACTTCTGTCAAGCCACTTAATACCTCAGCTTTATTTTCTTCATCATATGAACACCAAAAGCATTCAGGTCTGCTTTTAATGTTAGGTTATTTCCCAATCCCCTGTTAGACAGATTGCTCACTAAACAATATTATTTCTAGGCCACATACTTCAAGAAGACAGGCAAGAGGTTTTTGTCTGTCTGTACTTTACATAGTTAATTATAAAACACTTAAAATCATATGTATGTATCTGTCGTTTGTATACATGAGTCTTAATACTTCTAGAGGTCATCAGTGCTGGGTCCCTCTGAAGCTGGAGTTAGAGGTGATTGTTAGCTAATAGAAATGGGTTTTATGAACCAACGTCTGGTCATCTGCAAGAATAGCAAGGGCTGAGCCATCTCTCCAGCCCAGGACTTCATTCTTTGTGTTGAAAACTTCTGTGTATTTGCCACATGCATGATATCATGCTGCCATTACATCACTCCATGTGGTTGTGCTCCCATGAGTAGTATCCTCCTTGGTGCCCTTTGTCCCCTCACCCCCAAAACCTGTAACCCGTGAAACTGTTTCCTGTTCCCAAATGCCATGCAGCTGGAATGACATGCTGCAGAGCCTTGTAACACAAGCTGTTTTCACTTAGCAACTGAATGGATAGTTTCACTGCAGTGTCTACCTTCTCAACATCTACTTCTACCCTGTTAACATTGATCTTGCTAAGAACAATGCTTTATTAATGGCAATATTTCTTTTGCAAAAGAAACACAGTCTCTCATCCATCCTAACTCATACTCTGGTGTCATGCTGTTTGCACCACTGTCATGGGATATTTAATAACTAAGAATTCTGTACATTAAATCTTATTGAAAAGATGTATAAAATTAAAAATGTTGTGTTATGTGTATTTCATAAAAATTCTATGAAGAAATGAGATGATTAAAGGTCAATAAAATAAAATGTAAAACAAAAATTTTAACTGTTAAATGGATGTCTAGCTTTTTATTTCTAAGTAGATAATGGTTGCTTTAAGCTACAATGGATTGAGTATGTATTGTTGCTGAATTTTATTTTCGAAATGTCATTATTTCTAGAGGAACAGAAAATCAGTTCTTTGCAAGTATTCATGTTTTTACTGCTAAAAAAACTAATGATAAAAGCTTGGTAATTGCATTAGGATTACTTAATTTTCAAAATTCTTGTGTGTGTGTGTGTGTGTGTGTGTGTGTGTGTGTGTGTGTGTGTGTGTGTGTGTGTGTGTGAGCGCGCGCGCACACAAAACATCTGAAGCTATAGCCTACCATAAATAGAAACCCCAAGTTTGTTAGCATGACTTTCAGAGTTAACACTTTTCTCTACTGCATTTCCCCCTAAACACCTTGTCTTATCTGCTTGTACCCCAGCCAGAAAGTGCTGTTTGCAGGTGTACAGTATCTGCTGTTGGCATCTTCCATATCAAGCTGTGTGCCTCTCCCAACAATGAGTTACATTAGTGAAAATATTAATTAACAAACTAATGATGGGCAATTTGATTTCAGTTGTTTGAAAGTTAAACGTGTGTAACAATTTTAGGGATTCTACTTATAACAGATTTCTTTTTCACACTAATTTTGTGCCTATGAATTTTTGTTTTGATGTGTTTTGAAACAGGATCTCAATTTTTAGCTCTAGCTGTCCTGGAACTCACTATGTAATCCAGGCTTGCCTCAGACTTAGAGATCTGCCTTCCTCTGCCTCCTGAGTGCTGGGGTTAAAGGGGTGTGCCAGCACACCTGGCTGTGTATATATTTTTTATGGGTAAGACTTTTAGGAAGTGTTCACATTGAGATGAAGCTGAGAATGAGTTTGGAGGATCATTGTCCTGAAGGAAGTTGCTTAGCGTCTGAGTGGGAAAGAAGGGCTGGGGCTTTGGTTTTTGCTCTGCTACTATGTTGCCACATGACCTGGAGTAAACAGCTTAGAAAGGGTGGATCTCCAATATCTTAGACTAGAATATTTCCAAAGATTGCTTAATCTTTGATTTAATTAAGAGAGACGATTTCATAAAACGTGATTATCATTGGCAAAGCATGAAAATATAGAATTATATATTTTCTAATCATTTAGAATGTGAATATTATGTAATATAGACAATAAGATATTTATATTGCCTACAATCTACATATTGGTGTGGTTTATTTTATCCTTAATCTTAGAGTCCACAGCAACATGATTCAAATTGCCAGGACTGTAAATCTACAAGAAAACATAACATGTTGATATACATAATGTTTAGATTATATTTTAGTTTCTTTCACCAAATACATAATTTATTTGTTTAATATTATACATTCCAATGTATTTCTATCATTCTGCAAGTGAACATATGTAAAAAAAAATCTCTCTGTGGCCAATTACTCATTCCCTGCAGCCTTTTTTAAAAAATAAGAAACAATATTAAAACAATTATAGAACTGCTTTTCTATGATTTAGGTCATTCATAATAAGTATAGCCAAGTTTTGCAAAGCTTAATTGAATGGCATTTAGGTGGGAATTTTTATAAAGGTTTGATATGGCGTTGTTTGGACAGAACAAAGACAGTATTTCTTGTCTTCCCCTCCTCCTGTCCCTCTTCTCTCCACCTGCTTGAGGCAAGCTGTATTTCTTCAGAGAAGCCTCATAATTGCCCCTCTGTGCCTGATTTGGGGCTCAGGAAAGGCCCGTAGCATCTGTAAAGCTGGCAGCGAAATGGTATTTCCAGGCAAGCACAGGGCTGCTGGGTAGTGAGCCAATCCACTGCTTTGTCCTAGCAGCTGAGAACCTCGCCTGCCGGAGTATTACCACGGTGTTCAGTAACACAGACCTGTGCCATGAGCAAGGAGAGCTCTGAGCAAGTGTGAGGGTCAATATTTATAGACCGCTACGTAGCTGCCTTGCAGAGGGACGAGGAGAAACACACACACCCAGAGCTAGGCAGGGAAGACAACAGTGGAGGGAACTTTAATTTGTAATGTTTGTTCTGAAAAAATTTTCTTTCTGTCAGGTTCAAACTTCTGCTGAATCACAACCATTTGGCGCCGAGCTATGACAAGAGAGGAAACGAGAAGTTAAAGGAGCAACAGGGCCATACGTGAAGAGGTAAGTAATTAACCAGTTCAGGCTGGCTTTGACTCGTAAAGCCCATCTCCCAGTTGGCTGCCTTGCATCAGTGGGCAAAGGGCTGTGGGGCTTGTACAGCCTGTAAGGAGGGGCTGCCTGCTTTTAGGAACGGTCTTGGAGGAAGTGTAGGTTTGTGTACTCCTATTGAGAATGCCTGGACCTTCGTAGTGTGGGTGGTAGCAGCCACGCTTGAGCATTGGTTTCAATGCTCTCTCATTTCTACCGGACTGAAGTCTGCCAGTTGGTAACTTCCTATTTAACTGTATACACTATGAGGCATGATTAGTCTTAGTTGGTTTTATGGTCTAAAGGTGGAATATAGAGAATGCATGCCAACTTGCAGAGATGTACTTGCTTGACAGTATCTGAAGGTGGGCCACACAGGGTGTCTTTGTCAAAGCAGAACTTCACTGGACAGTACAGTACACTGAAACAGTACCTACTATTGGAAGGGATGAACCTGGAGTGACAGAATAGTCTTTGTTACACAAAGTATCAAAGGCAAACATTTAGGAGAATGGTCCCTGCTTGTCCAGATGACTTGCTGTTGGATTTTTATAAACTGTGCTCTCCTCCTTCATATTAAAGCAGTCAGCATCTCCGGCTCTGCATTTCCTTGTCTGTTACTGTAGGTATCGGGTTAAAGGCTTCCCTGTGTGCACACGTTGCTGTGGTATGCTTGGTTACGCTTATCTCTGATCATACTAAAACCAACAATGCCCAAGAGCACAGAAACTACTTTCTGTGAGCTTTCCTGCTTAGAACTCTCTTGGATTGTGTATACCTTTATATTCTATATACTGTATGTGGCTTAGGGTCAGTATTTTCTTCACTAGAAATATGGCATTAAGTACATGAAAATTGCCTAGCAATGTAGTGGGTACGGTGGGAGGTTACTGGTTTGTTAATGGTTCTGTAGATTGTGGAACTGCCAATACCTGCATGATATTTAAGCTTTGTAGGCTCCAGTTCCCGTGAGTTTTCTGTATTGTTGCTACACACATTTATGTTGAAAACAAAATTTGTACTGCTATAGGGTTTAAATAATGTGCCAATTGATATACAAGGAAGTGGCACAGATTTACATAGGATTATCAAATATAAAGCAACGCATTTTGAAATGTGACGGACCATATCAAAACAGCAGCCAGATTAGCTCTAAATGAAATGGAATCATCTTCAAAGGCGGCCAGGATTAGTCACTTTGATTGATTGATGTAATTTGGGAAAGTGATATTGAGACTGGGTCTTTGTATGTAGCCCTGACTGACCTGGTACTTGCTGTTCTTGCTACACCGGTCTCCATCTCAGCTTCCTGGGGGAGATTGTAGGTGTCAGTCGCTATACCTTAAAATGCATGGGTAATTTGGGGTTTTGTTTTGTTTTTCCAGACACGGTTTCTCTGTATATCCCTGGCTGTCCTGAAACTTGCTCTGTAGATCAGGCTGGCCTACAAATTAGAGATCTGCCTGCCTCTGTTTCTCAAGTGAGTTGTGGGATTAAAGGCTTATGCTACCACCACCTGGCTGGATGCATGATTTTTAAAAGGTTTCAAAATCATCAGTTTTTGACAAATATGCTGTTCTATATTGTGCCTACTGTGACTAAAGCATCCTGAACATGGGTGAGCAGGTATCTCTATGGTAGGTTACAGAATCTGTTGGGAACACACCCCACTTTGGTGCTCCTGTAGCATGTGACAGATGTCTTCCTCCCTTTTTGAGGACTGTACACTGATTTCTATCATGGCTGTACTAGTTTGTTTTGACACCAAGAGTGAATATGTGTTTCCCGTTTTCTGCTTTCAGTCACTGTGTGTGTGCGAGTGCATGTGTGTGTGTGCGTGCGTGCGTGCGTGTAATCTTAATCTTAGTCATTTAGACTGGAGGAAAGTGAAATCTCAAAGTAATTTTAATTTGCATTTCCCTGATTGGTAAAGATTATGAATCTTTAAAATATTTCTCAGCTATTTGTGTTTATTCTTTTGGGAACTCTGTTAAGTTCTATGCCTTGTGTTTTAATTGGTTTGTTTACTTTCATGGTCTTTAGATTTTTTTTTTTTTATATTTTAGACACTCGCCCTCTGTCAGATAAATAGCTGGTAAATAATTTTTCCAATTCTCTAGGCTGCCTCTGTACTTGGATGATGGTGTCCTTTGTTCCACAGAAGCTTTTTAGTTTCTTGGGGTTCCATTTGTAAATCGTTTGTCTTAATGTCTGCACTATCAGGACCCAATTTACTCATCCTTTCCTAATTTTAAGAATGAACTAATCCATTTGTGGCCTTAAAGTTCATGTTAACATGTAATGATTATTATATCCCTAAAACTCAGTTTTATTTTGTTTGAAAAATTGCCTTGTAGCTTGTAAATAGTTTTCATTTATATTTTTAACATTATTTTGAAAATCATCATGGTTGATCTAGAGTGGACAAATTGAAACTCAATAAGTCTATCAATCCATTTTTCTTTGCTATATGGTGAAGATTGTAATTTCTTCTTCATTCAGTATCCTGTTTTTTATGTTTCATGAACATATCACTGTTTTTTCTTTTCATTCTCTTAGAGCTTTGCCTCTGAAGTACCATGTTGAGTCTTTGTTGAGAGAAAAAAGGACAAATCAGTCACTGCAGCAAAAATAAGACAGAGAGGATTTTGTCCTTCAATTTAGGAGAAAAGAATAGAAATTATGGTACTGGTTGATAATGCCCAAATTGGGCTCTATTTGTGTTGAAGACTAGTTGGGTATTTTAAAACATGAGATGGCATTCTCAATATTATTATTTTTGGCTTTTGACCCATCATGCTATTGGTTGCTTATCATGTTTCTAAATACTATTTTTATATAGGCAAATTACAAAAAATAAAAAAAATTTGGAGCATTTTATAACACATAGTAAGTAGGCATCTACTGAAGCAGTAAAAATTAAGCACAAAATGTTAATAGACACTGTTAATGGGCTGACTTTCCCAGTCTTGTTTTTTTGGTACTGCACATCCATCCGCCACATACCCTAGAATGGGTTAGTCCACACTCTGATCCCTGTAGCACAATCCAGCAAGGCTCCTCTCGCTCTTGGCCTTTCATTGTCCTAGGGATACTGGAATGGTGTTTTTGTTTTGTTTTGTTTTGTTTTTTCCCTGACACTTTGGTTCTCTGCTCACCTCCTGCCGTTTCGTGTGGAGCATTGCCTACATCTCTGCCACTACATCATGGAAGTCCTTCCCAGGTCTTACCATCATTGGCAACATCCCTTTCTAGGAGTTTCATGGGGTCACTTTAGACTTCCATATCAACCTTGGTCCTAATGTTTGTGTCTTTCGTGACACTAAATGAGTTGTATCTGGGATTTAAAATTGGTCCTCATGTACTTTTCCAAGACCTGTAATATAACAAATATTCCATAGGTAGAGGAAATAAAATTTACTTATTTATTTTACACATAAAATTTTAGATAGCCCTCATCTTGACCAAATCTGTCAATATAATCAATAAAATGCTGTTGCAGCATTGAATGCTGTGATACAGTAAATGATGCCCCCTGTGAACAGTGTCTCATTTCCCAAAGCCCAGAGAAAGCTTCAGGGAGAGTATGTCTGTCCTCATGAGTCGGAGAAAATTAGAGTTGCAGAACGGAGTTGCTCCCAGTGATCCCAGTAAGGCATTCCTTCAGTTGTATTTACTCTTGCAGAGACAGGGACTTAAGGAAATAACACACAGGCATGACTGAAGAATTCTCAAACATGAAAGGTGATACTCTATTTAAGTCCAAAGAAGAATTCACTTCTCAAAATAGAAATGTTAAAAGAAAAGGAAGTCAGTGCTTAAAAAAGTTGAGAAATAGCAGCTGTTTCTTTAAGCTCTGAAATTCAATAAAAATAAAATTTATTTCACTTTTAATTGTTTTGTTTACCCAGAATACATAAAGTACTTGTTATCTGAGCTACTTCATATACCACTGACAAACATAAAGCTTTGTGGACAGTTCAGAGCATTGGGTTTTCCCCATTCTGAGTGCTTTTATTCCTTGGCGTGTTCTATCACGGTTTTCACTACTATTTAAGGCTTAGAAACCTCTTCCAGAAATTGAATATGACCCTTGTTTACTTAACCTTGACTTGTGTCTGTCTGAGGAATGAAAACAATATTGGTATTTTCATAGGAAAATGTAGTGACTTTTTAATTGCTTAAAATAGACCATAGCCAGCTTGAAAATTTCTTTTAAATGTGTTTTGTCCATGTAACTGTCCTGTGGTAAGTTTGAATTGGAACAGGTGCCATTTCAGAAGGTTTAGTGGTGTAAAGTTTGTAGCTCTTTCTGGCATATCTTTTGATTTGAGAATGGAGAGTAGAGGTTTC